AGACTTTAAGTCAACAAAGATCCAAAGAGACAAAGAAGAGCATTATGTAATGGTAAAGGGATCAATGCAACAAGAAGAGCTATTCTAAATATATATGCACCCAATACAGGAGCACCCAGATACAGAAAGCAAGTACTTAGAGACCTACAAAGAGACTTAGATTCCCACACTGTAATACCTACTTTCAATAATGCGTAAACAACCAGAGCAATAAGAAAATAGAGGACTTGGGCAACACTATAGACCAATTGGACCTAAAAGACATACAGAACACTCCATCCAACAGCAGCAGAATATATATATTTTTTCAAGTGAACATGGAGAATTCTTCAGGACAGACTATATGTTACCACAAAATTGGTCTTAATAAATTTTAAAAGATTAAAAATATACAAAGCATTATTTCCTATCATGTGGAATGAAACTAAAATACAGTAACAGAAGAAAAACTAAAAAATTGAAAAGTAGATGGAATTTAAACACTTTTAAATAACCAATGAGTCAAAGAAAAAATACAATGGAAATTAGAAAATACCTTAAGGCCAATGAAAATAAAAACACAGCATATCAAAGCACAAAAGTAGTGCTTACAGGCAAATTTGATCTTTAAATACGTTGGAAAGAACATGTTAAACCAACAACCTAATTTCGTGCCTTAAGTAAGTAGAAAAAGGACAATAAATTAAACCCAACACTAGCCAAATGAACAATATAATACATATTAGAAGGTATGTACATAAAGTAGAGTAGAAAAATAGAGAAAATAAAGCCACAGTTGGTCCTTAGAAAAGATTAACAATATTGATAAACCTTTAGCTACAATGATTAATTTTTTAAAGTCCTCAAATTACCTAAAATCGGAAATAAAATGGGGGACATCACTATTGATTTGACAGAAACAGAAAGGTTAGTAAGGAAGTACTATGAAAAATTTCACGTCAACAAATTGGATAACAGACAAATAGAGAATGCTCTGGAAATACACAACCTACTAAGACTTAATCACGAAGAAATATAAAATCTGAATGAAACTGCAGCTAGCAAAGATACTGAGTCATTAATCCAAAACCTCCCAACAAAGAAAATCTCTGGGCTGGGTAAGATGGCTCACGCCTGTAATTCCAGCACTTTTTGAGAGGCTGAGATGGGCAGATCACCTGAGGTCGGGAGTTTGAGACCAGCCTGAGCAAGATAGAAGAACCTCGTCACTACTAAAAATACAAAATTAGCCAGGCTTGGTGGCACATGCCTGTAATCCCAGCTACTCGGGAGGCTGAGGCAGGAGAATTGCTTGAACCCGGGAGGCAGAGGCAGTGAGCCAAGATCGCGCCATTGCACTCCAGCCTGGGCAACAAGAGTAAAGCTCTGTCTCAATAAATAAATAAATAATAAAGAAAATATCTGGGTTAGATGTCTTCACTGGTGAAGTCTACCATTCTTCTTAAACTCTTAGAAAAGATTGAAGAGGAGGGAAACCTCTAACTGAATTCTCTCATCCTTACTGAATCTATGAGGCCATCATTACCCCAATACCAAAGCCAGACAAAGAGATTATAAGAAAACTACAGACCAATATCCCTAAGAAATATTGACGCAAAAAATTCTCAACCACACACTAGGAAACCATATTAAATAAATAGACATCAAGATCAAGTAGGATGTATGAATGAAATGCAAGGATGCTTCAAGATATAAAAACAATTTAATATAATAAACCAAATTAATGGAATAAAAGGAAAAACATGATAATCTCAATTGAGGCAGAAAATTTTTTCATTTGACAAAATTTGACACAAATTTTGATTTTTTTTTTTTAAAAATCTCAGCAAACTAGTAGTAGAAGAAACCTACCTTAACATAATAAAGGTGACATATGAAAAACAGCTAAAATAATAGCAAAACATTGAAAGTTTTTTCTCTAAAATAAGAAAAAGAGCCTGGGAAACAGTAAAACCTCATCTCTATAATTTTTTTTTTTAATTAGCTGGCTATGGTGATGCACACCTATAGTCCCAGGTACTCAGGAGGCTGAGGTGGGAGGATTGCTTGAGCCTGAGAGATTGAGGCTGCAGTGAGCCATGATCACATCACTGCACTCCAGCCTGGGTGACAGAGCAAGACCCTGTCTCAAAAAAAGAAAAAGAAACAAGGCAGGAATAGTCACCTTTGCTACTTCTATATAACATAATATTGGAAGTTTGAGCCAGAGTGATTAGGCAAGAAGAAAAAATAAAATACATCCAAACTGGAAATAAAGAAGTACAATTATCTCTGTTGTCAGATGACAGAACCTAATATATAGAAAACTCTAGGCCCGGCACATTGGCTCATGCCTGTAATCCCAATACTTTGGGCCAAGGCAGTTGGATCACCTTAGGTCAGGAGTTTGAGACCTGCCTGGCCAACAAGGTGAAACCCAGTCACTAGGTAAAACTACAAAAATTAGCTGAGTGTGGTGGCACATGCCTGTAATCCCAGCTACTAGGGACGCTGACGCAGGAGAATCGCTTGAACCGGGGAGGCAGCGGTTGCAGTGAGTCCAGACTGTGCCACTGCAGTCCAGTCTGGGCAACAGAGCAAGACCCTATCTCAAAAAATAAAAATAAAAATAAAAACTCTAATGGGTTCACCCCAAAACCATTAGAAATAATAAACAAATTACAAAAACAGAAGGATACAAAATTAACACAAAAAGTCAGATGTTTCTATATCCCATCAATAAAATATTCAAAAAGAAATTAAGAAAATAATCATGTATATTAATACAATAGCATGAAAAACAACAAAATATTTAAGAATAAACTTAGCCAAGAGGGTGAAGGACTTGTACATAAAAGATCACAAAACATTGCAGTAATAAAATAAATAAGACATAAATAGCAGTAGCTCATGCCTGTAATCCCAGCACTTTGGGAGGCTGAGGCGGGCAGATCTCTTGAGGTCAGGAGTTTGAGACCAGCCTAGCCAACATGTTGAAACCCCGTCTCTATAAAAAATACAAAAAGTAGCCAGATGTGCCTGTAGTCCCAGCTACTTGGGAGGCTGAGGCAGAAAAATCACTTGAACTTGGGAGGTGGCAGTGAGCTGAGATCACACCATTGCACTCCAGCCTGGGTGACAGATGACAGAGCGACACTCCATCTCAAAAAATAAGATAAAATAACAAGACATAATAAATGAAAAGGCATTCTATGTTCATGGATTGAAAGACATAGTATTGCCAGGTGCCATGGCTCATGCCTGTAATCCCATCACTTTGGGGTGAGGTGCACAGACCACTTAAGGTCAGGAGTTCAAGACCAGCCAGACCAACATGGTGAAACTCTGTCTCTCCTAAAAATACAAAAAAATTAGCCGAGCATGGTGGCACACACCTGTAGTCTCAGCTACTCAGGAGACTGAGGCAGGAGATAAGACAACATTTTGGCTTTTAGAGTTGCCAGTTGCCAGAGATTTTGTGCTGGTTCTTTCTCATCTGTGAGAGCTGATGTTCTTCTTTCATTTAAAGTTGCTATCCTTTGAATGGGGCTTTTTGTTCTTATGTTCTTTGTTGTCTTTGAGGGTTTGACTATGACACAATTTGAGTATAGTCTAATGGCTTTGTTTCTGGATGCTTTCAGAGGACCCAGGCTCAACTCTGCACTCTTAGGCTATGTGCTCTAACGCTGGGTGGCTGAGACCAAGCCCACAGTTTAGTTCTCTGGTTTTTTGAGGTTGAGACTCAGGTAAGCTGGAAGAGCCAAGGTGCTCCAAGACTGCCGGAGGTGATGAGGGTGGTTTAAAGGGTAAGCTGTCCAGTGGGGCACTGTGGACGTGAAGTTCTCTGGTGCGGGAACCGGGGTACCATAGGTGGGAAACATTTTGGTGGTTTTGGCTGGTGCTCCACAGGTGAACATGCTTCAGAGTGGCAGTGGCAAGGTCACAAGCTAACACACTCTGGCAGGAGGCTGTCAGCAAAAGTGTTCTGGTGGGTCAGCATTGGCATCTGGAGAAAGCACTACAGTGATGGTCACTGGAAAAGGCGCTCCATGGAGTATCTGATGCTATATGCTGGCAAAGCAAGGCAGAGACTCTGGGAAGGGCCAGTGGACAGTGGGGTGTGCAGATAGGACCTGCCTTGGTCCCATGGCCAAGACAGCCCTGCTATCTCCAGGTCTGATTGATGACATAGGTCAGAGCCACCTAGAGGAGTATGGAGAACTTTGAAGGATGAGTGTCTATGACCATGTTCCACTGTAGCTGTCCCTTCCCCAGACAACCCGGGCTCCAGGCAGATTCAAGCTCTATCTTTGGCTATGCTCTGGGCAGTTCCCTCTGCCCCAAAACCAAACACTCAAATGTCCATAGGGGTCGTGGGGTTTCCCGAAGCTATGCTCCCGGAGGTCCATGTTCACAGTGGGCCGCTCCATATTTGTTTCACTCACCCTTTCCTTAGGAGTGATTCTAGCCTTTGAATGCTTTCAGGCTCTTAGAAACCCGGTACAGGAGTTCCCAGCTTCCTTCTCCTTCAGCCTCAGCATCTGGGTTGTCTCCCTGTCCACTCTCAACATGCTCTCTAGGATGATCTGTTCTGGGTATGCTGGTCTGCTGATATTCTGGCCTGTCTTGGTGAAGTTCTTCCTGGTTGCATCTAGTCATCCATCTTGTCTCTTCCTAATTTGTTCAAGTGGTAATGAGTTTTTAAAGGAAGAACACCCTCATAGGCTTCTTATAGATTAATTTTACCCCCAGTTTCTATCTTCTCTCTCTTCAGGTGGA